GCAGGAAAACCCAGAATAAAACACAGATTTCCTGGCATAGGTTCCCACTCCTGACTAGATATTATTTCCTTCTCAAAAATAAGCATTTATACGATTATGTTTACAATTTTGAAATACAAAAATATTTTTTTAATTTTACTTGCTTATTGCTAGTACTTGCACTTTGTTTGCCTGCTTAAAACAGATTTTTTGAACAGCATTTGTCAAGAATAGCAGAATTCAGAATTACCAATAGTGAAGAGTGGGGTTTTTTCTCATACAATACAGCCAATATCAAGTTGGTACGTGAGCTCCCTGCTTTAGCTCAACCTATGCCTCCTCTGCTTTGTTCCAGGTTATGGACACACAGTGCCTTTATCTGAAGGAGGAAAGGCCTTCTGCGTCATCTACTCAGTCATTGGGATCCCGTTTACACTGCTTTTCCTGACAGCAGTGGTACAGCGTATCATTGTATATGTCACTAGACGGCCTGTTCTGTATTTCCACATTCGCTGGGGCTTCTCCAAGCAGGTTGTTGCAATCATCCACGCTATAGTCCTTGGGTTCATCACTGTCTCGTGCTTCTTCTTAATCCCAGCAGCAATATTTTCTGTTCTGGAAGATGACTGGAATTTTTTGGAATCTTTTTACTTCTGTTTCATTTCCCTGAGCACCATTGGCCTCGGCGACTATGTACCAGGAGAAGGCTACAATCAAAAATTCCGAGAGCTGTATAAAATTGGAATTACATGTAAGTGACAAACTAACCAGCTAAGTAAAAGACATTTTATTAAAAAAAAAAAAAAAAAAAAAAAAAAAAAAAAAAAATCAGGCTTTTGCTCTCCATTCTGTGGATGGTGATTTTGTGAGCTGTCAGCTGGCAAACTGGGCATTGTAGGTAGCTGTGCAAGAAGGAAACCTTTAAATAAGATCAGCTTTCTTAGTTAAGAAAGAAAAAGCTAAAACCAAAATTCCATTGTGCTAAGCCATAGCTACTTACCCTCGTAGAAAAAAATGCTTACATTACTATTACGAAAATGGTTATGAGTATCTTGGGCTAAGATTTCAGTGCATCACAGAGCCAGGAAGATGATCCTTGTAACCTAAAGTCATCTTGAAGGTGAGATGGTAGGTGGAATCGAGGAACAATGGGAAATGAGGCAGAATAGCAAAGTTTCTGACTCCAGTTGTAACAGAAGGTAGCTGAAGCTGGCGCTGGTACGTACCAGCTGTCAGAGAGAGAAATAGACCAAGATGATAGCAAAGTAAGACCACAAATGTTAAATTTAAATTGTTTAATTATGTTTGACACAGAAGAGCAGCACAGTGATCAGTGATTTGATCAAAGTAAAAATAAGAAAATTATCTTTGTGTTGGCATTCTGAATGAATGTATCCTGAGGGCAATATTTTCCAGTGACAGTGTTTTGAAGCATCCCTGTTTCTGGTACAGCATCCATCTGCACATTCCTGGGTCATCAGACACATCGGTTAAAAAATATGAATGGCTGAAACAAACTGTTCCAGTCAGGTCCATTTCTTAGGCTGGTACGCATTTGTCTATGCTCCTGTGCATGATCCAGCAATGTTAATGTGGGCAAAGTGTCCATTAACTTGGTTTTGTGTTTTACCTAAAGAGAGATTGGGCCTTGAATTTTCATGCCTTGAACTAGCCAACAGAACACTTTATTTTAATCTCCTGCCAGGCCTGTTGTCATTGCAGATTTCCCCCCCTTTACCCATCGTGTTTCTCTTACCAGCAGTAGCTTTTCATTATTACTCTGCTGATCTGCAGAGTTGATTTTCTGATGCTAAATGATGAAGTGAATGGAGAAAGTCACACATAGTAAAAGCCTTGTAAAAATTCTAACCATTCTGAAAACTCAATATCAGAAGTAAACATTATGGCTCAGATTATCCTTTCTTAAACTTTAGATAGCTCTCATTTGATGTCACAAGATAAAGCTTAAAAACAATTCATAAATTCTAGCTGTAATGCTGATTTAGATCAGTAGCTGGTGTTGCAATATTGGTTTAATGGTGCTCCTGGAAGGAGGAGAGTGTTATTGCCAGTGAATCGTGTGTAACTACAGGTGAAATATTTATGCCTTTAGGTGACAGAACAGTGACCATATGTAGATTATAATAATTAATCTGTGTTGATCTTTCAGCACATTTAATGTTCAGCCTTTGGTTGAACATGTTGTACTAATAATTATACACTTAGCTTCTGTTTGATTTACTCATTGAAATGATAAAATATTCAAGTAGTCATGCTCCTTGTTAAATTGTAATGATCAGTAGCAGGGATCTAATGAAACACTGAGATTAAGAAATGCGCATTTTAACACCTTCACTCAAATTCTAGATGCATATGTTTGGAGAGAAAAAAAAAGGAGCACAGTGGGCTGTTAACCATATGAAGCTGCATTTCCAAAAGTCTCAGTTTGTGAGAGCTGACCATTACCTTTAAAAATCAGAGTCAGTATACTACCGAAGTAATCCGTAATATCACTTAAGTAACACTTCCAAGTTTGGATAGCTTATCTGTTAGTAAAACATTGCAAATGTTCTTCAAGGTGTCATCAGATATAGCAACTTTGTCAGGTTTTTAAAATATCAGCAGTAATTTTTCATTTTTATTGGTTTTGTACACATTTCTAGTTGCTTTGGTTTTCCACTCATTCCAGGGTGTTGGGTATCTTATAATTTTAAAGAGAAATAATTCAAAAGTTTTCATGAAATAAGTGATTTGTCCTGCTAAACTGGTACAAACAACAAATAACCATAATTAGCTGCCATACTTTTACTTCTGTTTGTAATATGTAGGGATATTAAGGGAAAAAAAAATCTTTTGAAGTGCACCTAATCATGAAGGTAGTGAGTAAGTGGGGGAGCATGCATGTGGTAAATTTTAGTATTCTGTTTCATTTAATGCCTTTACATATTTTTCTTTTGTACAGTTGTAACAGAATTAAAGCCACTAGCCTTACTTCTTTTTGATTATGCGGGCTCTTGTTGATTGTAGAACGAAAAAGGAAAAAAAGGATTTGACAGTCTGAAGTGCGTTACAGAGTTCTGAAACTGGGTCATAAAGAAAACTAACGTACTATTCAGACATGATGGGGGTGGAAAAAGTTACAGGGTTAAAAATGTTCCAACCCCACTTAATCTGCTAATAATTAAAACAGTCGTCTTTTTTTTTTTTTTTGGTATCCAGGTTATTTGTTGCTGGGCCTTATCGCAATGTTGGTGGTTCTCGAGACTTTCTGTGAACTTCACGAGCTCAAAAAGTTTAGGAAGTTGTTTTATGTGAAGAAGGACAAGGAAGAGGACCAAGTGCGTATAATGGAACATGACCAGCTTTCCTTCTCTTCCATCTCAGACCAGGCAGCCTCCATGAAGGACGATCAGAAGGCAAATGAGCCTTTTGTGACTTCCCAGTCCCCAACTTCCAATGACAGTTCTTTAAACAATTAATACAGGGGTATCCATACCGTTGTTTTGGTGCATTTATACTTCTTACCATAAGAAATAGAACGCCTCCTTTTTTTTTTTTTTCCCTGAAAATATAAAAGCTGGAAGACTGTGCTACTTTAACAAGGATTCATCACTTCTGACACAGAACAGACAGAAGTCTGGGAAAAATGTGGGAGCCACCCTGGGAATAGGGAAAAAATGTAGGATGTGGCTGGGAACATTAGGCCATTTTGCTTGGGGGATAAGGAGTTACGTGTACCACTTTCAGAGGTGCCAGTGAGAAAGGCTTGCTCAAGCAACTTCATCCAACATCTTCAGGAGAGTAGGCTTTCACTGACATCCAACTCATTTAGTTGCACACCCCATCTTGCAACTGGGTGACATAGCAGATGTTGGGGTGTGCGCTTTTGATTGTCAGAGGTGTAGTCGCAGATTTAATCCAAACACACCAAATATCTTGATCTGGGAAATTATTCCAGAGCAATATCTATAGATCTGCTGGAGGAGTGGAATATCTAGATCATCCCTCTATTACCCAGTAACTTGCAGGTGCAAATAAGAATTCTAGGAATGAAAAAACAAGGCTCTGGTCTCTCCTTTGCCCATGCCTTTGACATTCAAATTTCCTGCTTCCTTAAAAGGTCCCCTAGTCACAAGAAAAATGTTGTCCTGAAGAGAGCGTGCCTTGAGTCTTCCATGCTGTTTGTCTTTGTATGAAACACTTTTGTAAACTCTGAGAGATGGCAAAACCAATTCAAAGTACTGGGTGAGGTGGGGTTGCAGTCAAGGGAGGCATCCGCATTTCAGTCCTCTGTCCTCTGAAATGGGCAGGAGTGGGTTTTTAACTATGTAGAATGGAATGAAAGAGTCAGCATATGCCACGACTGGCATAGTCATGCGCTTATGGCATTCTTCTAGTAGATGCTTGAAATCTGTTCAGCAGAAGAAGGACTCAGTGCTGTTTCTTTCACAGTCCAACCCAGTGTGTGCTTTCTGCTGAGCTGATAGGTAACCAGTGTCACCTTTGAACATTGCCCCTTTTTCTTCTTTTGCTTTTCTAACTAGTACTCGGAGCACTTTGGAGGAGAAGGGAATGTTTCAGGGCAAAACAATTTTTCAGTTTTTCATACAGCAAGAAAAAAGGAAAAATGTCACATTTGGTTCAGATGGAACCGAAATTTTTTCCCCTTGGGAAAAGTCGCTAAAAAGTCAAGATCTCACTCAACTTCTGAAGCTGGAACCTCTTTGGCTGTAGCAGGAGAGGTGTTTTAGTCCAGCTACCAGTCACTGTGCTGAATGCAGGGACCTCGGAGTGAATTTCAGTGATCAGGAGATGAGACTTAAGTGGTTGTAGTACTCTCTCTTCTGGCCTTAAGAATCTACGATATGGGAATCTTGGTAATGCTTTGCAATTAACAAAAGATGTGGAGCACAAATAGCCATATTAGGACAGCCTCCCACATAGGAATAGTGTAGAGGAGAGCCTTTTCCCTGCAGAGCAAGCATGGCAGATTGCCTGTAATTTGGCTTTTAGTGTATAGAGCTGAATAATATTTTACTGTAAAAGAAAAAAATGCAGCGTGTCTAGATTTAGCGCACGTGGGAAATATACTTGAAAGTAAATAACCCAAAATATACTGTGTTTGAGCTTAATTATAGCTAGCATCAAACAGATTTTATATCTTTGCTGGAAAAACTTACTATATGGTTAAATCAGCTGAAAGTCTTCAATTATAAATTATATTTATAGAAAACCAGAGCTAAAGGTTTTGGTTGCTTTGGGTTTTATAGATTAGGTGAGTATACTGTGTTTGCATGTTCCCAGGAAAGTGGCTATTTTTATACTGCTTAAGTTAACACAGTTCTATTTATAATGAAAGTTAACCAATATATATGTACATATATACAGAAATATATTTATATACTGTACATATATCATAAATCACCAGAGTTTAACAGAGTTAGGAATGGCATTTTAGATATTTTTTTTCCCTAGGCTTTTCTTTATACAGTCAATAGTTGAAAACTATGGCATTAAAATGACACTGACATAAAATTAAGAGTACTGTACTACAAGAACATTTATACTGTTTTTCAGTGAAATTTTATTGATTGTTTTCAGTAACTTAAAATGCAAGATTTCTTTTAATTTTAGTGTAACATTAAGCTCTAAAGGATATGCACAGATGCTAAATGATATACAAAGTTAATTTTGCAGCGTGTACACAATTGCAAAATGTAGACGTGAAATGAAAGCACAGAGTTCAAAGCAGAATTGATACACTGAGCAGTATACAGTGATGTAGGTGAATATTTGTTATTTTAAATTTAAATAAAACGTCTGGCTTTTGCCTGCCTGCACTATGAAGTGGGGAGTATTTTCTGTAGTGGTGTGTGTGCGTGCACATAGTGTGCAAAAATCCTATCTGCATTTGTCAAGATTGTGCATCCTTTAGTTAGCCTTCCTCAACTCAGGGAGGGACCATTAATGCCAGAGTGTGTTACCTAACCTTGATATTAATTGTAGCTTAGTATTGTGTTGATTATTCCTATAGAAAAAAAGCATTCCAAAGTGTGTTTGGTTTTGTTTCAGATGCTGACTGATTATAGCAAATAAAAATTAATGGCATAACATTTATCTTGTCTTTATAACCTAACTACTCCAATATTTGAGGAAATCTGAAAAACTGTCATTGCAGGTTATCAGTACACTGATGAAAATCATGGCCTTAATTTCCTACAGCTTCTACATCTTCATGTGAAGCCAACACACAAGATGAGAATAGTTAAAACTAGGATCCAGATTAGAAAGAGACTAGATTATTGTGCAAGAACCTTAGTAGAAAGTGCATCTCTTTCCTGGAGGAGAACTGTGAAGCGAGTGCATGTAAACCCAAATGGAGAGCATGGATCACAAAACAACGGTGCTGAAACAAAAGTTGCAAGAGGGAGTTAGAAATGCAGCAAATTACTTGTATGCAGAAGAGAATTGCCTGGGTACTATACTCACTCTCCTGTCTTCAGTTGATCCAGGCATATACCACATTAATGGCTTTATTGCCATGCTACAGCTGACACTTGCCATCTTCTCTTTGTCTATCAGTCATTCAAGAGAAAGAACTGACAGGCCATTCAGTTGTGTTGTGGGAAAGAAAACGGAAGAACCCACCTGAGTTTTGATCTTGGAGCTGACAACCGCGTTTGTTGCTTTGGGAACATGTCCTCTTCTCTCAGAGTTTCTTCTCAAGGTTCACCAATGGTACCTCATGTGGGTGAACACAAGACTTCCTGAGGGTTGAAATGAGTAATTTTCTAAGTAGGTAACTTCAGAGACTTGAGTGTTTTGCAGCTTTCATGCCAACACTACGGAAGGTATCTAGTTGGGTGTTTGTGTCAGAGTGATTGCAGAAGAGCAGCAGTTCTGGATTACCTTAAATGTTTGTCTAGCCCAGTATTTTGTCTCTGGCAATGGCCAAGAGCAGACATGTGTGAACTTCTGTAAGGGGAGGGCAAGCATGTAGCAACAGTTTCCTAGAATGTGCCTCTAGCTTCCAGCAATGTGCAGCTCATCTATGATAGTATCTAGGAGGTATGGAAAGTCAGCGTAGGTATGATGTGTCGAAGTGCTACACTGATGAGCGTGCTCTCTGTTTGGGTAGGAAAAGACTGTGCCTCACAGGATCAAATGAAGATTGCCTATTACTTCCCCAGAAAGCAGTTTCAGGCTAAGTGCTTTGCAGTAACCAGGTGGAATAGCACTAACACCGTCACTGCATGGGATGGTCTCTTGAAAAAGGGAAGAAAGGCAGTAAAGCCTTTACGCGCTTTACTTGGACATTGTCATCCTCTGGGTAGATGGTAGATAGGAATACACGTGGAACCTGTTTGCTGATGCTGTATCTTGCAACTCCACTTTTGTAAATAGTCACAAATGTACTGAGATGAACCATAAGTTGCTAAAAACATTACTGCCCTGATGTTATTCCATTATTCATTTTTTCTATTTTTTTCATTTTTTCAGCTTTCTGCTGAAGCAAAATAAAGTTGCTATAACTGGAAGCAGTGTTATTCCAGATGTGCAGGAATACAAAACAATGGGGTTTGTGTTCTCTGCGCTAGTAACTGTCATTATTGTAGTGTGTATCCAGAAGCTCCTAGATAGCAAAAAAAAAAAAGTGTGTATCTTCATGTTGCTTGTTTCAAACAGAAACAGTAGTTTTTGAAATCACAGTGACTACCTCTGCAAATTCACATGCTCGCTAATGCATATTAGATACTTGATGTGTCTCATTTTTAATGCCTACAGTGTTGGTCTCATCGCTTCCCAAGTTACCATTCTGCTTGCTTTTTATCATGGATTTCTTGTCCCAGTTCAGATCTTAAAAGGTCATCACGTTGCCACTTACTGCGATTGCTGTAATGCTGTTATTTTGCTGGTGATGACGCAGGTTTGTCAGAGCTGTTGCCTTAGCTGACAACGAGACTACCTCGTGTGGCAGTTGGGGCCAAATGATAGATTGAGGTAACAAGGAGGGACAGTGTGCCTGGGAGCAGGTGTGCGGGCTGACAGCCAACGTCAGGACAAAATCATCCTGGCAGACTCCTAAGTGACCACGTAGTTTTCACCAGGCTTTGTTGCCTGTCACTAGAAGCAAGAGGAAAATGCTTCCAGAGGAAGGACATTGCCAAAAGTAATCTGAAATGAAGTTCAATGGCATTAGCTTTTTCACAATTTGTCTGTAGTCTGCGGCTCTCTGTCACTTCATGTATATACGCAGTTTGTCCCTTTGAGAACACGTCCTCTTCTCTCAGAGTTTCTTCCCAAGGTTCACCAATGGCACCTAATGTGGGTGAACACAAGACTTGCTGAAGACTTGCTGGCCCAGGGTAGATGTCCCTGTGCTCCCTGCAGCACGTTATGCTTGTTATCACAAGTTTTCCTGTATTAAGTTCACTGAGGGTTCAGACCCGTGAGCAGGAGTGTCACTGCTGAAACTTTCCAGGGGCAAATGTGGCTCAGGGCACTGCCTGGGGCTGGGGCTGCCTCTCTTTTAGAGTCCAGGCTCCCTGGAAAGAGAAAAGTGAACTCTTTACCTTAAAAAGTGAGAAACCCACTCTCCTGGGAGGCTCAAAGCTCCCCAAGCCTGTTTTGTGCTAATCCCAGAGGCCTTCTAGTCCTGAGCATATAGTATATATGTGCAAGTATCCAGAGTAGCACACAGAACTGCGATTCAGTTTCTCCATGTCTAGTTTTTTTGAGACTGGTCAACCCACTCAACCTTCTGAAT